CATCTTCTTATCTTTCAACATCATCTCACCTACAATAGCCACCCATAAATATTTCGTTAAAAAAAAAGAGGTCCAAACAAAAGAAACGGACTTGAACTATGATCTCTAATTCCCTTGTAAACCTGAAATTCTATGAGGCATTCTCCCCTGTGAAACTACTCTAAGCAATGCTATAGACCTGCCCATTAGTGGGCTGAAATAAGAAGAAATTACCAACTGTGGCATCAGATCAGAATAATGCTATACAGTCCCAAGGCCGAAACTCAGGGCACCAACCCATGACGCCATGTTCTAAGGCCACAATCCCTAGTTTTAGGGATCCCTGGGTGACTCAGCAGTTGAGCATCTGCATTTGGCCCAGGGCATGGTCCTGCAGTCCCGGGATCGAGTCCCACATAGGGCTCCCTGCATGGAGACTGTTTCTCCCTCTGCCTGTGTCTCTGCCTCTCTCTCTCTCCCTCTCTCTCTCTCTCTCTCTCTCTCTCTGTCTCTCATGAATAAATAAATAAAATATTTCTAAAAAAAATCCCTAGTTTTAGGTGCCTGACTTACAGAAGGTATTCAATTTATAATGAATAAATGGAGACTAAATGAATGAAGTAGCCACTAAATGGGTCACTCCAATCCTCACAGGTATTGAGACCAAATTGATCCTGACAGAAAAGGAAAGATAAAGCCCTCATTTGTTTTCCAAGATTCATTCTTTTTCTAAAACAAAACAAAACAAAAACAATAATTGTCAATACAGGAATTTTGGACACTAAATATTTGCCTTTGGGGGAAAAAAAGTGCACAGCAGGTGTCAAAAATTCAGAACACCAAAAAAATTCAGGGCACCAAGCAAAAGTCCAGCAGCACCTGATCCTTCCAAATAAAAGCATGTAATCCCCCCATCTGAACCTTTATAGCCTTACAGGACTAAAGCAAAATCTTGTGCAATGTCGTCCATTACAACAGGAGGACAAATCCAGAAGTTAGATTTCTCAAGATCACATATGGATTAGAGGATCCATACCTTCTAGAGTCTCAATTTCCCCCATTTGCAAACACAGGAAATTAATTCATTTAGCAAGTCCTTGAAGCGGCTTAACTAATGGCTGGCGTCAGGGTTGGAGTGCATGATCTCTAAGGTCCCTTTGGCCCTGAAAACCTTAATAATTCTTATAGTCAGACTTCGTAGACATTCTTTTGACTCAGACCTGAAAATTTGGCTGGAAACATAAACAGGCTTCTACATAAAAACACACACTTACCAGCTAGAATTTGGACTTGGGAACATGAGGTTTCACCACAGGTGACAGGAATAAGTGCAAAATCTTCTCTGGTAATTATATTAGTTTCGGCTCTATTATAATTCCTATTCCAAGGTGCTTCAAATTTGACCAGAGCAGGGCCAAGTCACTATCATGCTCACACAAGGGAAGGGTGTGCTGGTTTTCTTTTGAACTTGCCAACGATCTTCCATATATTCAAGAATAGCATGCCTCTCCTATCAGACCTGTCCTTTCCCATTCGGCAATGGGTTATTGCCATTGCCATCGGTGTTTTTTTTTTTTTCCTTCCTTCTATTTTGCAAAAATCATAAGCCAACATGGCAACCAGTTTTTTATTTCCTTCCTTTTAAAAAACAAGGTCATGGGGGCACCTGGGTGGGTCCATAGGCTAAGCATCTGCCTTCAGCTCAGGTAATGATACCAGGGTCCTGGGATAGAGCCCCACATCAGTGCTCCTTGCTCAATAGGGAGTCTGCTTCTCTCTCTCCCTCTGCCTCCTCCCCTCTGTTCATGCTCTCTCTTACTCTCTCAGTAAAATAAATAAAATCATATAAATAAATAAATAAATAAACAAACAAATAACAAAGTCATGATTTTCCCATAGTTATCAGGACAAGGTCCATAGAGAAGAAAAGCATTTGTAATTTTAATGAAAGCTCATGCTTGAATTTTTCTTAATTAAACCTTTTAGGGAAACCATATTACTATTGCTGTTGTTATTTTTATGTACGAATAGTTATAACATCAAAATATCTGGGGCAGTCTGGGTGGCTCAGTGGTTTAGCACTATCTTCAGCCCAGGGTGTGATCCTGGAGAACTGGGATCGAGTCCCACGTCGGGCTCCCTTCATGGAGCCTGCTTCTCCCTCTGCCTGTGTCTCTGCCTCTCTCTCTGTGTGTCTCTCATAAATAAATAAAATATTTTAAAAAATATATCTGTATAGCCATTATAGCTTGGCAATTTCAAGTCCACCTGTATTTCATGTAGAGGTGTATAGTTACCTTACTTTCAATTATGAGAAAAGCTGGATTTAGTGTGATCCGTTCAAAACCATGTAACTAGAGGGGAGCCTCTGTAACTAGGTGGTGCAGTCAGTTAAGCATACCAACATTTGGTTTCAGCTCAGATTGTGATCTCAGGGTCCTGGGATCAAGCTTTTTGTGAGGCTCTGAGCTCAGCATAGTATCTGGTTGAGATTCTCTCTCTCTCTCTCTCTCTCTCTCTCTCTCTCTCTCTCTCCCTCTCCTTCTGCCCCTGCTCCCTGCATGCTCACTCTTTCTTTCTAAAATAAAAGGGTAAATCTTTAAAATAACACACACACACACACATAACTAGAGTAAGTTGTTCAACTAGCAGTCAAACACAAGTCCTCTGTCTCAAGGTCAAACAAGCTTTTTAGAACTGAAGATTTAAAATGCAAGAAAATAGTTTCCATTATATTCTAAGAGAGCAAATAGACTGAGTGAAGTTTTTAATTATGTAAATTCAGTAATATGCAAAGAACAGCCTGGGACCAAAAGAGCAAAGGTATATAAAAGACAAATTTAAGAGGTGCTTTTTTTTTTCCATTGTTAATAAAAAATGACTAAAAATAAGTAAAATTGATCATGTTATTTCTATTTGCCAGAGGACCTATCTGTTGCATGAAATATAGACTTTGCACGACTCCTATCCATTAGTGGAATCTGAGCTTTGATTTTACTAGCTTCCTACATTTTATCAGCAAGGTTTTATAGGAAATTCAAGATTTTTGTAGGAAATCCATGACATATATATCTAAGACATAATTTTTTAAATAGATTTAAAAGATCTAGGCGCCAAACTGAATTGGCAGTCACTGGTTATAACTAGAACTTAATAATTTTATCAATAGTACAAAAAGCTGGGCAGTCCAGGTGGCTCAGCGGTTTAGCACTGCCTTTGGCCCAGGGTGAGATCCTGGAGACCCAGGATCGAGTCCCACATCAGGCTCCCTGCATGGAGCCTGCTTCTCTCTCTGCCTGTATCTCTGTGCCTCTCTCTCTCTCTCTTTCTCTCTCTGTGTCTCTCATGAATAAATAAATAAAATATTTTTAAAAATAGAAATAGATCTACCACATGATCCAGTAATTCCACTACTAGGTATTTGCCCAAAGAACATGAAAACACTAATTAAAAAAAAAAAAAAGTACAAAAAGCTTTTTCTTTTTTTTAACCTTTTTTTTAAGATTTTATTTATTTATTCATGAGAGACACAGAGAGAGGCAGAGACATAGGCAGAGGGAGAAGCAGGCTCCTCACAGGGAGCCCAATGTGGGACTCGATCCCCAAACTGGGATCACGTCCTGAGCCAAAGGCAGAGATTCAACCGCTGAGCTACCCCGGTGTCCCAGAAAAAGCTTCTTCCATTAGGTTCTCCTATATGAAAATATACTCCCACAAACTCACATGGTTTACTCCCGTCCCCTGCTCAAATCATTGCTTAGGTGTCCCCCTCTCAGCAAAGGCTCTGGACACCTTTCCTCCAACCCAGAGCCCTGATCTCATCCCAATGCACTTTGTATCAGTGTACGCATTTTGTTTCTATCAACCAGTTTCACTAACCTGTGGGTTTCAGGAGGGCAGGACCTTGTCTTTTTGCTATAGAATTCCTAGTGCTATAAAGGTATACACACAGGCACACGGAATATTTGCTGAATTAATGAATCATTTCTTCCTTTGTCACTCCGAACCTAAAATTTAGGAGAAGGGAAGCCAGACAGTGGACTAAACCATTTAGGCAGTCCCCATGGCTTTTCCTCTCTAAAGCTTACTACAGGAAATTATAAATATATATCAAGGTAAACCAAATAACACAATCAACCTCCATGCACTCAAGAATTACCAACTCATAACTAATCTTTCTTTCACCTATTGTCTCACACATTAGCCCTTTACTCTTATTTTGAGGCAAATGCCAGACACCATTAATTTCCTTCCCAAATATATTGACATTTCTCTAAAAGAGAAGGACTGGGTTCTTTTCTATATATCTATAGTAACATCATCACCCATAAAACACAACAATAATTCTAAAACTTTGTTATTTAGGTTTCTTTCCTGATATGAATAGTATTTAGTTGCCCAAATGCTGGCATCTGGTCACCAGTGGCTCTACATGATCAAAGGTTAAGTACTTCCACTGTTGCTTCTGATTCCAACCCTGAGTTACTTACAATCAACACTCTCTGGAGCACAAGACTTGTATATAATCAATACATACTGTAATATGCATCCTTGACCTCACTCAGAAAAGAATACCCCAAGAATGTTTGCTGGTGCTTAGGCTAGAAAGATGTGGCTGACCGATTAGGACCCATGGTGACCAATCAGAACCTTAAAATACCACTCTTACTCATGTAGAATGTACTGTTTGTGGATAGAGAAACAAAGCAATAAAAAAAGCATGCTTGGGTCCCCAGGATAAACAAGAAAATGTGGAATTCAGAACTGACACTCCTAAAAAAATGGCTTGCAGTTTCAAAACAAAATTAGTAGGTAGAAGGATTTCCGGAGCTTCAGAATGCAAGTCAGCAGAACTCTGAGAAGCTTCAGCTGGGGATGTTGCATTAAAGTACCTTAGCTCTCTGTGAGTTGTAAAGCTTTCTTTAGGCTCCGGATAAATGTTTATCCACCACAGAAACGATCACTGAATTCATAAGCTTCCTAGCATGGCCTATTAATATGACTTCAACCACAGATCTTACCTGTGCCCTGAAAGTACCTTCATCAAGAGGTGGTGGAGGAGGGAAGTTTCCAGGGCTGGATGGAAGAGCACCAGGATCGTCTAGAGGTGGAGGGGGGGGCGGCAGAAAATCACCTACAGAAAGGAAATACACACATGAAGTTACTAGAGATGCAACTGTATAGCTCTCTTGCTCTCTCTCTTAAGATTTTATTTATTTATTCATGAGAGACACAGAGGGAGGAAGAGACACAGGCAGAGGGAGAAGCCAACTCCCCACTGAGCAGGGAGACTGATGTGGAACTTGATCCCACGACCCTGGGATCACGGCCTGAGCCAAAGGCAGATGCTCAACCCCCGAGCCACCCAGGTGTCCCTGTATAGCTCTCTTAAAACACATACATTTGCTGCCATTTTACTGCTTTCTCATTGGCCTTGACATATAATTTTTTGTCTTGTGGAGCAATTACTCCCTATTCTAGCTCTCTTCAGTTTAATTAGTAGTCTTAATTTTGAGAAGAATGAGGACCAGAGTTGCTTCTCAGAAGTGACATAAAAGCTAGTCTAAAGGGGTCAGGTATATTTAGCCAAAATAGGGAAGGTGTTTGGGGGCAGGGAGTAGATTGCTGAGGTGTGTAAAACTTGGTACTTATCTTCAATAATGTTTTAATCAAGTAGAGGAGGAAAAAATATGTACATAAATAAAGACCATACAAGATAAAATATAGTAAGATGGAGAAACAAGCTCTTCTGGGAGCTAAGATAAAGGAAAGCTCATGTCTAGGTGGAGGAAGCAAGGAGGCTTCACCACAGCATGAAAATTGTCCCTGAACATTCTGATACGGACAGCAAGCCTACTTGGCAGAAAGACCAGCAACAGAGGCATAGGTTAAAATATTCAGGGCCTGGAGAACAAGGAGCAAGTTATTAAGATAGCATAAATATAGGAATGTAAAATCATACTAATGGGTAATAAAAATACGTGCACTGACAACAAAATTTTTTGACAACAAAATTTTAAGTATGTTGCACGTCTGGTCAGTAGTTTAAATTTTATCATGTACACAGTGGGGATCCACCAAGCATTTCTGAGAAAAAAAAAAAAAAACTTGGTTGCAATATGATTTACTAAAGACTAATCCAGAAGTACATGGAGGAGAGATTAGGAGAAATTAGAATAAGAAACATCTGATTTTGAAATCTATATACAATCCAGGCAGGAAGTTATGAGGAGTTAGCATATCAAGAAACCTCAAGATCACTGACCAAACAGAACAGAATACTTATGTTATGCTGTTGTAAAAGAGAGCATCTAACCTCTAAGATTTGAGGTGCAGATATAGGACTAAGAGCTCTATGGCTTTACGGCATGGAATTTTTAAAAAAAATACTCGGCAAAAAATCCTATTAGGAAAAGGAAATTTCCTTTTTAAAAAAAAATTCTCTATTTGTCTCTTTCTTTCTAAAAATAGTATTTTAATAATAATAAATAATATTTGTAGATAAGTAGCTTTTCTTTGCATTTCAGATGCTCAATACTTAATGGGAAGGCAGTAGGTTCTATCACTCAGTGAGCTGCTTTGGGATAATAACAAAATATTATGATGTAGGCCTTCAATAAAAAAGAATCTAAATGGCATTGTGGAAGGATGGTGGCTTGGATTCATTGTTCTGATACACCTTGGAGATGGTTCACTTGGGCCCTATTTGCCCTATAAATAATAGTCTTAGAGTTGGAAGAGTAGCTGTTCAACCTAGCTCCCCACTATATTTAGACTACCAACCAGTCAACACTATATTTAGAGTATTGTGCTTTATGGACCCGTACTATACACCAATCACTGCTAAGATTTTTAAAGGTTACCACTTAGTCCTCCAACCCTCTGTGCTGATTGTTCTCAAATGTTAGAGGACACTAGGATCTCAGAAAGATCTAGCTAAACACAGATGGCTGTGTCCCACCCCCAGAGCTCCTGATTCTGAAGGTCCAGGGTGGGGTTTTAGAATGTGCATTTCTAATAAACACCCAGGTGATGCTGATGCTATTGGTCCTGGAACCACACTTGAGAACCACTGCATTAAGTAAAGTTATTACCTTAGTCCTATTTTTAGACCCCATAGGATTAGAACGGTTAAATGACTTACATCACATAGAAACATTTCTGTTTCTCTTACCTTTTTGGGTGTGCATATCTGGAGACAAGTTTTATCCATATCCTTATTAGGGTCATAAATCTCATAAACCTTCAATAACTCTACTCAGTGGTTCTAAACACTAGCTACTTACTAAAATCACCAAGAAAGTGTATCTAAAAATGCCGATGCCCAAATTCCATCTCACATCAATTTAATCAGGATCTTGGGAATGGGGGAAAGAAAGTAGGGAGGAGGGGTCAGGTGCCAGTACTCCTTTAAAACCCAAATGAGTCTAATGGGCAGTCAGAATCAAGAAATTAACTTAGCCTTCCTTTGATCAAATACCGCACTAAAACATATTTAACACTTGTTAAATAAAAAAGAATTGTCACCAAGTTCTTTTCTGCCTTGAAACATCAGAACATATGAAAAGAACCCTCCAATGAGATCTTAAGTCATCGGCATAGGAGGTCTAGGCTGATGGAGGCTGGTGCTACAAAATTCTAGTGCACAGTCTAATTTTCTGGTTCGAATGTTCTCTCTGGACCTATGTCTTCTTCATACCTAATTAAAAGAGATTTCTGAGCTCCTTCTTATATTTTACCACGTTTCATTGTCACAGAGACTGCTGAAGCATTGAACAGGCTCCCTGCAGAGAACCTGATGCAGGACTCGATCCCAGGACCCTGGGATCACGGCCTGAGCCAAAGGCAGATGCTCAACTACTGAGCCATCCAAGGCTCCCTCCTGCCTATATTTTTAACACAAAAATTGAATATAAAGTAAGGCACAGGCTGACGACAGTCTTGGAACGGTGAAACTACACAAAAGACTGACATATTGTATTTTTAAAAGAAATAACTTAAAAACAACAAACATCTAGACTGTCTATTCCAGGTGAATATTAGATTAAGGTTTTTTAAAAGCCCTAGTAATAAGCTCATAATTATCACATAATTTTCAGTTTTTCAAGCTTGACCATCATAGGCCTCTTCCTTCATTCTTCAGAGTGCATCTCACATTTTAAAATGGTGTGGAGGAGCAGGTAAACATCTAAAAAACAGACACACACATGATGAAGGATAGAAAATGGGTCCAAAAAAAGGGGGGAGGGGAGAAAATGGGTCCTTTGGAGGGAAACATAACTAGTTGAGATAGCTGGAATGAAAAGCTCTTAATTACCTTAAATCAGACTAAGAACTGTTTCGAGAACTCTGATTTATGGTTCACCATTTTAACAAGCCATTAAGCAAAGGAAAATGCTTCTTAGTTGCAGGAAAAATAAGTCCGCTTGAGAGAGAAGGCAAATTTCCATGTTTAAGGAAGAGGGCAAAATAGAAAGAACAAAAGAACAAAGTGCATGTGGTATGTGTGTCTGTGTCTCTGAACTTGCTGGGGGAGTGGGATCCTTTTCCATTCTCACAGTTTTTTTCCAAACAATGAGAAAGCACCGGGCTTAGAAACTCAGGTACCTGGATGGTTCAGTGAGTTAAAGGTCTGCCTTTGGTTCAGGTCATGATCCCGGGGTCCTGGGATCCAATCCAGCACCATTGTTGTTGGGGGGGACTCCTTGCTTGGCAGGGAGCTTCTCCCTCTCCCTCTGGCTCACCCCCCACTCATCTCTCTCTCTCTCTCTCTCTCTAATAAATAAAATCCTAAAAGAGAGAGAGAGAGAGAGAGAGAGAGAGAGAGAAGCAGCTCAGGTGGTGATTCGCCTAGAGAAAAACATCCGAACAGAATCAGCTGCAGTACCTTGCAACTAGCAATGCTAAGCTGTAAACCTTCACATTAGTGCATGGCCTGTCCTCCTCCCCACTTGCCAGGGAAATCCAAATGGAACTTTTAGACCCTGTGAGTTAACGGGGCATTGAATAAATCAAGCAGGCAAGCCAAAAACAAACACACCATCAGGAAACTGCAACAATTCAGGGATACATAAAATCTAAGATACAAACATTTAGTTTTAGAAGAAGGAGGGTAGTTCCAGCCACATGCCTACAAACTTGGTTTCCTCCTTACCCTTTTCCTCACCATCCAAAGCCTACCCACATACAAAATACATTTAGCCCTTGCCTGCCAGGTAAAATTCTGTATCATCGCAAAGAATTCTGCAAATATTCAAAAGATTTTTGCTTTGTGCCAGACGTAGCACCATGAGGCAGCTAAAGAGTGAGTGGTGTAAAAGTACATATTCCTGACTCTTAAATACTCTTTATGCCAACTCACTGCCATAAAATAGCCTGTAATGCATGGCATTAACTTGAAAAGCAAGTGAAGCAAATCTGCCAAGAGCCCAGGTATGCATACTTTCTGCAGCTACCCTTGCTAGTCTAGGAGTTCAAAGATGGTAGCACCGAGAAGTAGATATGGCTACATATGCTGGGAGCTGAGTTTTCACCCACTACAGTTGCCCTAGGAACCTGGTTTGAGCATGTATGAAAGGCATCTACCTACCTGCATGAAGAGCTCACTTATCTCTTTATAAAATAAAAGCCCCCATCAGCGGGGAAAATAACAAGAATTTATTAGCAAAGGAGGTGATAAATGAGTAGTTAATATGTGATTGTAGTGAAAAAGCACAAGGGATTAATTAACTCAGCTCATCGGTGAAGTCTGAATTAATTTACTGCACTTAAAAAAAAAAGCACCGTTCTTTTCCTTCCTCAAGCATATCCATGTACAGCTGCACACATACACAGGGATTCACACAGCAGCCCCTTATGTGCCTCGTACACAGTTCAGATCTATCACAGCATCTATAATACCTGGTTGCATTTAGCTGTTCATGGCCATTCTCTCCTCCTGCAAACTGAAGCTCCTAAGAAGTAAAGCCCACTTACAGTTTCCTTCTATCTCCACATCTTGGCATGAAGTTTTGGCCATGGTTACACTCTCAGTAAATGCAGGCTGAATAACTAACATACAGAAAGTCATTTAATTACTTAATTGATGTGTTGTTGTTATTGTTGTTGTTGTTTTTAAATGGTCTGATGCAGGGA